TGAAGTCCAAAGAAAGTTTTTCTCTTTCTAGAAAACTCTCCGCCTTACCTGCCTGAAATGCCTTATTGAAAGTCCAAGCTTTTTTTTTTTTTTTTACTCTTTCTTATCTATAAGTACATAAGTCTGGAACACATTTGCATAACACCAGACTGGGGATACTTTGGATACGCCCTAAAACAAAGAATGAGCTGCTGCTTCGTCATGTTAATGTGATTTTTTTTTTTTAAACTTGTAGGGGATCTTTAAAGCATATAAGCATATTCTAGTAGACCCCAAAAATAATATTACGAACCTGTAAGAGATCAAAACATGGACAATGTAAACCATTATTCTTCGCTTTCTGGTATCCTTAAGACTGTCAAAAGCTTTAGCTCCCATTTTTGTTTAAAAAAAAAAATCCCATTGGACAAAATCTACTCTATTATTTAGTTCCTGTCAGCGTTTTACTGGACTACAACATTTTCTCATTTTAAATATCTTCGGTAAGACGGACTGTAAGAAAAAAAACTGTGACAAAGTATGTTATGAAAGATGAACACTGCTGAGAGATAGTGCCACCCTTCTGCAGCGTGGCGTCGGCAGCACTATGTTTTTGCCTCCATATTTAGAAAAAAATTACAGGTGGTCTCATTTATTGTGTTTTGATGTCTGTACGTTGGTCTGACTTTTGATTATAATACACAAACAAAGGAGACACAGCATGGAATGAAAAAAAAAAATGTGCCATTTTCACTTTGCTGCGGCTGCAGTTTTTTGGAATCTACAATAGCGTCTAACAGACACAGCAGGCTTTTGTTTTTGGTCCATTTCACACCCACCACTATGATACCAGCCTGCCCATTCAGCAGCTATGAAGTACTTACTGTTAGACTTTCGGAGTGCACATTCTTCCGCGCTCATTGGGTAACCGGATTTCACCGTATTAACACACCTTGTCGGTGTTGAATCGGTGCAGAGAGCCACCTTTCCTCCAGTTTTTTTTTTTTTACAAATCTACCCTCTGAAAAAGAAATCAAACCTTGGAAGCAAGTGAGATTTTGCCTCACATGATCCAAGCCCTGATTTTTTTTTTTAAGGGCAGAGTTCCCTGCACACGATCCCATGCTTTAAATGAGAACCAAATGTTTGTTTAAGGTTTTCCTCACTGTGAGTGCGCTGTTTATTTTGATTGGTCTGGAATGTCTCTGGACAATGCCAACCAGCTCTGTGGAGGTGGAGAGGAGCATTTTCTCCTGCCCTCAGTGGATTGTTGGCCACATCATAAGGCTATTTATATGCCTGATTAGAGGGAGAAATGCTGCGGCAGTTTGGCTTGTTGTGTACTTTAGGGAAAAACCATTTGTCAGAATAACAAAAGCAGTTTTGGTGCCGTTTCTGCATGTGCGATGCATTTGCGGCGTTGAAGAGGATGACGCATGCCTCGCCCTCAGACAATTTCAAAACACACTGTCAGAGCGCAGGTGTCAATCATGGCTTAAAGCACCATTATTTAGTAAATAAACATGTATGGTAGTTTACATACTTTGGCTGGTAGATGATATGTTTAGATCATGCCTAATTTAAAATGGTCTGTAATTATTTTCATATTGCCTCATATGCTTCAGATGTTCCACTTGGAATGCCGCAAACATGAAATTAACAACAACAGAGTGGAAATGGGTTGAAAGAAAGGATTTATGTCATTTTTTTTCTTTTTCTTTTACAGTTATGGTCATTTTTTATACAAATGCATATAAACAAATTTAAATCATTACATGAACTTGAATAATGAAAAGCTATGATTTAAATATTTGCTGTTCCTATCCATCCATGTGACGTTGTTTATGTTGTTAGGACAATGTGGCAAGCATCGTGACTTCACATATGGGCCTCTTTGCTAACTTGAAACCCTAAAAAGAAGATAAATTTGTGTTTTTGAGGTCATAAACTCACTTTTACAGTATTCCTGTGGGGCTGCATACTACCAGTGACTGTAAACAAAGCATGAAGCTGTACCGGTGCCGTTTTATTTACTGGACCAGCATTCAGGAGCACATATTTCCTCAAGCTGCCTACATGCTTCTTGCAACAGGCTCGTGGAAGTAGAAGCATCAAGGTCTGCCTCCGTTGCTCCTTGTAGATGATTGTCTTATTGATCTGTGGGCAGGCCAACCCGGTCACTTCTGCCTTCTTCCAAAAACACCCCCCAAAAACCAGATAATCAACATATCCAGGTGGAACACGACTTTATAAATGAAAACCGCATCACAAGTCATTAGAAAGACGATAGCCTAAATCAAGCATAAGCTCAGTAAGTTGTCAGGTTTGCAAATTTTTTGCAATGGTTGATTCAAACAGCAGGTTTCACCTCTGTGGCTGTTCCACACATATTAATTCCACACAAGTTTGAAGTGTCTATAAAAGTGGTGACACTAAATGTACTCAGATAGTTTATGGACTTCATCTTTGCTGCAGCGTTGTCACCAGATAAAATTTACAAACTGCCAAAGAATGACTCTGAGAACATGATTAGGGATGCCAACAAGTACGTAGTAAAAAGAAAGTGAAAAAATTGTGTAGATAGAGAAAACCACAAATGAAAGGCTCTGAGGACATGCTCCCTTAGGGGAAGGCTTTGAAAGGTATTCACTTTACATGCTCATTTCTGGTTATTACAAGTATATTTGCAGCTGCCTGAAAACTTAAACCCTTTGCAATCATGCACTCGTTTCCATTAATCTGACACCAGCTGAATGTGTCTGCTTTATGTCTTAATGAACACCCGGCTCAATTTTCTGCGGAAGTTGCGATGGCAATCTTACTGGGTCGGGCTCTAGTAACACGTCTGGACTGCATGTCGTCACATAAACAGACAGGCACTCACAAGTGACAGACTTTGAGTTGTGTGAAGTGTTTTGGGAGAGATTTTTTTTTACATTTTAACACCAATATTGGTCCAAAAACAACACAGCAAAAGAGCAAAAGACAGAGTTTGCATGTCACGACATACCTTTCTAATTCACTTCGCTCTAAAATTTCACATCGATTACAAACTAAACATCCATAAAAGCAAAAGCTAACTGAAATTAAGACAGAGAGTAATGTAATTTTAATGAAACTCATCACTAATGGATGTACGTATGTTTGTATTCATCTGTTTGTTGGAGTCTTTCCTCTGAGTTTAATAAATACCTGCAGGATCCATATCAGCGTCTCCAAAGTAAGAAACTTGTGCACATTTCTTCACATTGAACATGGAGACATGATCAATCCTGATCTAACGATAAGTCACACTGTGTGCTTTTCTTCACTTCAGACAGCTGAGCTGTCACACAGAGAGTCACAGTTTATCAGCTGCAGTTAAATCAGTTGTTACACATCCTACTTTTAAAGCAGTACTGGCATTATCATCACACATGGACGAAGTTTTCAGTAATTAAGGAGCTCATACTTGACTATTTGTTGAGTTTGATAAGGTTAGTTTTAATTGCATGTTTTGTTTATTATTAATTAAGATGTATGACACATCACTTGATGTACTGTCAGTCTCACATGTACAACGTATAATATATAAATAACACGTACTTTGGCTCTCTCAGTCACTGTGGTGGGTTTGTCTGAATGAAGCCATGAGCAACATCAACATACAAGTGACCTATGTCTGAATGACAGAATGCACTTTAAGAGATTCATGAATCCAGCAACGTGACATATCCCATGTCTGAAAGCAGCTAATGTCTAACAGCCATCACGGGGTAACTCAAGCCTATATGAACCTCATTAAGTAAATAGATGCAGAGCTGATAAAAACAAAAGTATGTCGGAAATCAGCTTAGTCACGCCAGACCAGAGAATCTTTTTCCACATGTTCTCAGAATGGGTGGGCGGCTGGACGCTAACAAGCATGGACCACCTGAGTCACCACTGAAATACTACTCTGCCGAATATAGGATAGACGTACCCTAAACATGATTATTACAACAGAGGAACATGCTTGTGTTGTCTGTCGCACAAGAGCTGATATTTTTACATTTCTCTAGAGTTAGTAGAATAACTGCATCTTACGTCACCTTCTGAAAAACTATGTCCCCTCAGATCTGCCTGAATCTTCTATAGGTGACTTAATTTGTACTTAAAACAGAACATTTTATCAGGAATTTGCTTCTCTTTATGATCCTCTAGTTTACAACCACTCAGGATTTTTTAGAAAATAATTCCTCGATCACTTAACAAAAATAAAAACGCTTCAAGCCGTGTGGTTAAGTGACCTGCATTTGTGTTTGGTGCCGTGCACATCGTTACTTCCCCGGATTAAATTTATTGATGTGTGCAAAGTTTGTAAATCAGGCCTTCGTCAGAACTGATGTCAAATGGAAAAAATCATCAAAACCATTCAGTGCTATTTCTGATAAATCAAAAGCGAGCAAATTTTATGACAGACTCTGAGCAGAGCCTCCATTAAATTGACAGATATGATGCCAGAAATAGAGTGGTCTTCCTTGGCTCTTTTGTCTCAACCGTATGGATCAAATTACTGTGCAGCACACGGGGATTTCCCTCTGATCCTGTACCTTGGCTTTTATGTATGGAACAATGACTGCAAGCCTTTAGATGCATGCTGTGTCTGCCAGCAGCTGGAGTGCATTGTCATCCTTAATACTGAGCGCGAATAACACCGTTTTTCCATTTGCCTGCCACGCTGTGTTCCCGTGCCCAGGGAAAGCCTGTGTCCTCAAATGCCTGCTGGATATTCACAAAGTCTTTAGAGAGAACGACCCGGCCTACATACTGAACGATCTGTACATCACAGACTACTGCATCTGGATCCAGAGGGTCAAGTAAGTTCACCGACACACACACACACACACACACTCACAAATCCATCCACTCACACATCAGAGACCTTCATCTAGAGAGAATTACCTTCAGAGCCATGGGAAGTGCCACTCAGCCCCCATGATGCATCAGTGCTTTAGAGGAGAGGATTAGATGAGTCATTTGTCACAGCAGGACCAATTGAATGGCCAAGCCGGCAAAAGATGCAGTCTCCCTTGTCTTTATTATCGAGTTTCAGAAGTGCCATCAGTGAGCCTTAAAAGAGCCAGCTGCACTCAGCACACTCTCCGTATGAAAGTCTGAAAAGTGCACATGTGTGTTCTCAAATCGTCCGTGGGCGTATCCTTCCACCAAGCCAAATATGTGGAATCCGCACTTTCTTCCCAAAACGATACAGGTCTGATGGCTCTCTCCTCCTCCTCCTCCTCCTCCTCCTCCTAGTTCATATTTAACAATTACTTACACATTTGAAATGTGAGCCCGCGAGCACATTCAGTAATGAGCTCTGTTTTACTCTTGGCCGGGGTTCAGCCAAGTGGTGTGCTCGTCTGGAAAAAGCCCAGTTGAAAAATGTGTGCCTGATGTTGTAGGCTCGACGCCCAGATGCAGACACGATAAAAGGTCTGCAGGGATTTAGTGGTCCCCCCCCCCTCTCTCTCTCTCTCCTTCCTCACATTCTCATTTCTACATTTTTCCAGCACCAGTCTTGAATTCTGCTCTAAAAAAAAAAATGCAATAGATGCTGTGCACGGGGCTGTCCCTTTTAGTGTTCGAGACCAGAGAGAAGATGCACACTCTTGTCTTGCTCTGTAAGCGCATGGAGCTGCTGAGGCTCTGTCAAATCACTGAAAAACTCAATCAGTCTCTTCTCTGCTTGAGGGGCACCGGAGCACCGCTTCCCCTCCCTGCTCCTCCTCTCTTTTTTTTTTTCCCTCGCTGAACATTGGAACTAAATGTCAGCTTGACCTAACATGCTGACTCCTGCTTCGCCCCGCATCGATCATTAAATGGATTAGCCCGCGCTCTCTCGGCATTGACCTGTGATTGAATTGTTACATTTCTCTCTGAAAAAGAAAGCAAAGTTTTTTGTTTTTTTTGAAAACATCATACAAGCTGTCATGTTGTGTAAAAGACACTTGGATTAGTAGAAACCACTTCTAACACCTCCAGCCACTTGAGAGAGCAACCAAGCATGAATAGCTTTTTTTTTTTTGTTCTTTGAGTATGGGTATGCTGGCTCGCACTCAATAGAAATTTCATACAATCTCCACTTGTGGTTTATGAAACTATGTTCCCATGTTTGCGGTGTAATATTAAAAGGAGCCTGCAGTCAAAATGCAAAGCGACGCAGGAGAGCGAGGCCCGTTCTGAAGCCTCTGCAGCAGCGGTGAGCTCCACAGACCGACCTCCGTTATCGTACATGCAGTTTGTTGTGGCAGCCCTTTTGTGTTTGCGTGACAGGTTTGATGACAGATCGTGTAGGCATTGTTTTCCTCAGTGCAAAGATATTCCCCTGTGCAGGATTTGTCATCCTCCGCTAAGTGAGTCGTCTCTGGGAGCCAGGCGGTTAGATGAGATGTAATCTATACCCCCGGTGCAATCCCTGTATCCTGTCACTCCCTGCTGCCGCCAAGGCAGACACGATCAGCTGCACATGATGGACACGGCGATTAATGGATGTTTGCTAGCTGGGGGGGGGGGTTGATTTATTTAATCTCCTCGCTGTCCCACATGCATTTCTACTCCTAAAGTTCCTCTGACTGCCGAGACATCGGTCTCGAATTTACAACCTCGTAAAGACTTCACCGTGATTTAAGCCCCGGGGCAGGCGCTCTGCTTTGCTCTCACACACAGAATCAGAGCAGAACCCCTGCGTGCGGAAATCAAGAGAGCAACCTCAAAGTAAATTGCGCTTCACATTGTCTTAGTGATGTGGAACTTTTGTTTTGTTTTGTTTTTTCACAGGAGTGGTCACTGTTCCAGAATTTAACACACACTTCCTTTGTTGGAAACTGTTTTAACTTCGCCCTCGCACACCCTTCCAATCCTAATTATCTCCGAATTGTTAGCAGAGAGTATTATTCCAAATGGAGCAGCAGCCTCCTCAGTCCATTAGTTTCAGTGTATGCTTTTTGAAGGTCTTCAGCTGCCAAAAACCCCTGCAGAGTTGCTGGACTGCAAAGAAAAAAAAAAAGAAGCGAGTCGCCTCACTTTCTCTCTCTTTGTTTTCCCCTCCCTTTATCAAAAAGCTTGGAGACGTGCCAACGTAGATTCACGGCAGCCAGCACAGACAAAGCTTATAAGCCTGGTGTTGTGTTACACTACCTCGGTTAAATCAGAAGGGCCACAACTTCCTTTTTCAGCACCGGTTCACTCACAACCACCCACCCACCCTTATTAATTGGGTCAATTAGATTCTAGCAAGGGAAGAAAAAAAAAAAAACATGGCAGTATACAAGTGATGTGCTCCAGGGTTCGTCTGAGAGGAGAATGAAGTCATTAGTGGAAAGGGAAAAAAAAGAATTGGTTCTCCTTTTTTGTGTTTCTTTTGTGGAGCAAATGTGCGAATTGTCTATAAGATGTGCGAAATGGGCAATAACACAATGCTCCCAAGACTGGAAAATTGACAAAAAATGGTTTAGGGATAGGCTCAGCATCGCACTATAACAGCTGAATGGACAGACTCAAATAATTGTGAATGGTAGGTGTGAAGTGAGCAGTCCTCTAAAACAAAGGGTGTTGTTTTCACTGTACAAAGGAGTGCGTGGCTGTAAAAGCATGTGTGCAGCGCCGCATGAAAGCAACAAAGGAAACTGACAAAAATGAAGTTGTAGACATTCTTTCGTTTTTGGAGGACGGAGCAGCTCTCAGTGGTTCCACATACTCTCTCTACCTCCCTCGCCGCATTCATCCCCCTTGCATTGTGTCCGTGACAATGGCCGTCGGGGAGAGTTTTCGGCAGCTCTGACAGCAGCTCCCCCGCAGGGAAAAGCATCTGGAGCTCTAACAACTGGGAACGTCTCAGGGCAACGAGGTCAAGCACGGGGTCAGCGTGTTAGCTAAGGGCTGTGGTCAAACGCCTTCAAAGTGCACTTGTGCACAGCGTTAACACCCACCCACCCCCCACTCTGCCGAGCACGGGCTGTCAGTTCACTTTAGTACACCTCTGTGTGTTATTTTAAAGCACAAGGCACTTATTACCCAGATTTTCACATCAGCCACTCAACACTATAGGTGTTTTTGTTTTTGTCTGCGCTCAAGTCTTCTGTGTGAGAATTAAAATAAGGTGTTCAAGCCTGTTTCTGCAGTTTGTCACAGCTGATGTGGCACCCAGATGTTTGTTTGGAAGGACTTCTGCCAGGCAGCGTCACACAACTGTCAAATGCCTGTCCTGAAAGCTTTGAAACAGATAATGGAGCTGCTCTATCTGATGTTAGCCTCGGCACTGAAGGAGATCTTTAGAAGCCCCGCTGTGGAGAACAAAGACACAAATGTCTCTCAGCTAACACGGATAAGTAGTACAGATTTCCTCTCAGCATGAGTCCACTCCAGATTTTTGTCTTGAATACACAGGCCCATCTTAAACACAGGCTACTGTGCTCGCATAATTTCCACTGCCCATGTTTGGAGTGCCCACTTCAGTTAATGCAATTGATTATTGTGGGGTTTTTTTTTTTTCTGTCTGTGCAGCTTCAAAAGCTCTTGCATCTACATCGAGGCGTATTAAACAAGAGCACCTCACATTATAAATGTTTCTTTGCTATATACAGTTGAAACCAGAAGTTTACATACCCTGTATAAAAAGACACATAACCTTTTTTTCTCTCTCTCTCTGTTTGACATTAAATCAGACTAAACTTTTGCTGTTTTAGGTCAGTGAGGATTACCAAAGTTATTTCTATTTGCTGAATGCCAGAATAATGAGAATTATTTTATTTCTTTCTTCAAAGTCAGAAGTTTACATACACTAGGATCACTATGCCCTCAAACTATTTGGGAAAGCCCAGATGATGATGTCATGGCTTTGGAAGCTTTTGATGGTTAATTGATAACATTTAAGTTAATTGGAGGCACACCTGTGGATGTATTTTAAGGCACACCGTAAACACACTGCTTCCTTTTGTGACAACATGGAAACTCTAAAGAAATCAGCCAAGATATCAGGAAGAGAACTGTGGACTGTTCATCCTTGGGTACAATTTCCAGATGCTTGAAGGTTCCACGTTCATCTGTTCAAATAATTAAATGCAGGTATAAACACTATGGGAATGTCCAGCCATCATACAGCTCAGGAAGAAGACGAGTTCTGAGTCCCAGACATGAGGTGTGCATATCAACCCAGAACAAAAGACCTTGTAAAGATGCTGCTGAAACTGGTAAGAGAGTCATCATCCCCAGTGAAACCAGTCCTGTACCGGCATGTGCTGAAAGGCTACTCAGAGAGGAAGAAGGCATGACTCCAAAAGCAACTTAAAAAAGACAGATTACAGTTTGCAGATGCACACAGTGACAAAGACCTTCATTTCTGGAGACATGTCCTGTGGTCTGATGAAACTAAACTGAACTGTTTGGCCATAATGACCATCGTTACATTTGGAGGACAAATGGGGAAGCTTGCAAGCCTCAGAACACCATCCTAACTGTGAAGTACGGGGGTGGCAGCATCATGTTGTGGGGGTGTTTTGCTGCAGGAGGGACTGATGCACTTCACAAATAGATGGCATCATGAGGAAAGAACATTATGTGGAAATATTCAAGACATCAGCCAGGAAGTTAAAGCTTGGGTAAAATGGGTCTTCCAAATGGACAATGACCCAAAGCTTACTGCCAGATTAGTTACAAAGTGGCTTCAAGTCAATGTTGTGGAGTGGCCATCACAAAGCCCTGATCTCAATCCTGGAGAAAATTTGTATGCAGAGCTGAAAAGGTGTGTGGAGCAAGGCAGCTTACAAACCTGACTCAGTTAAACCAGTTCTGTCAGAAGGAATGGGCCACAATTCCA